CTAGCTCACCTTTTAGCCTTCACATCTATTGTCAAAGAATTTCTATTTAAAAGTACCTTTTCCGGTATATTGTGTGCTTGCCTTGGCTGCACATTTACTAAATTTCAGGGTCTTATCTCCCATTTCCCCTGCGCCCTCCCACTTTAAGAGATTATTTGCGTAATCTCTTTGAGTCTGCGGGAAACTCTTTGTGCCGGACCCTTTCCCCTGCATGCCTCCTCTTGTGATGTGCATTGTCCTTAATATGCAGGACCCTGTGGGCTCCTTCCTGATCATGCCCATTACATCCCCACTCCTGGCCTCATCATTCCAAAGAGAGGCTCATCAGACTTATTGGGGGTCCAAGGTAGCCGGTCCTTCCCACCAGCTCAGATGTCACGCTCCTGGCTGGGGTTTTGGGTAGCAATCTTATGTTACCAGCAGTGTGACTTCTCTCTCCATCTGGTCGTCCCGTGAGGGGAGTGGAATGGAAATGCTCCTACTGACCATCTCCGACAGGACACGGGTGCACCAGTGCTGGTACAGCAAGGAAGAGGCAGGCCCGCTGTCTGCGGGGATAAGGAAAGGCCAGGGCATGGGCAGATGAGCTGTTGGCACCTTTGTCATAAAACCCTGGGTCTGCATGGTGGTGCACGCCTGTAATCCCAGCACTCAGGGCTGAGGCAGGAGGGTTGCCATGAGTTTGAGGCCAGCCTAGGCTATATAGTGAGTTCAAGGCCACCCTGAACTACATAATTAAATAATTAAAAAATGAAACTACATAATCTAAAAATTTTTTTAAACCATGAGCTCCTAGAAAGGATTCCCGGGCCTGGGGATTTAGCTCAGCGGCGTAAGTGCCTGCCTTGCAAGCAGGCAGTCGTGAGTTCAATCCCTGGTACCGATAAAAACGAAAAAGACAAAAAAAAAAAAAAAAAAAATAGGATTCCCAAAGGCCAACACTCAGATATCAGTCATTTCCAGTCAAGGATTTCACTCGGCAGCACAGGTGTCTGCCTGGCAAGTGCGAGGTCATCAGTTTGATCCCCACTGCCAAAAAAAGAGAAAAAAGAAACCAGTCATCTCCCATGTTGCTCCTGGGAGGTGGGGCTGAGGGGTCCTGAGAGGCGCTGAGTGCCAGTGCCTGCCCTAAGAGGGAGGGCACAGGCCCTCCCACAGCGACATGGGACGTGGGCTTGGAAATGCACCCCGGAAGCAGGTGACAGTCTTGGTTCACAGTGCTCTGCCCCATGCCCAGCACTGACCATCATGGCTTGTGCGTGGATATGCCTGCCCCATTTCGGAGCAGGGACCCGGTGTGGCCTGCTGAGCAGTGCCAACGGGAGGACGCTCGGGTGGTGCATGTACCTACTGCAGGGCCTCTGTTCTTGCTATTCCTTCCGCTTTAGTGTGTCCTCTCACCTGCTCCCAGCTCTGCCAAGCAGAGCTCCATGGCCCTCAAGAAGCCCGGAGTCCCCAGCACCTGGAGAGCCCTCCCCCTTCATGGTAACTCTGGAAGTGGGGTGTGTTAGTCCTGCTTTATCTTCGGAGAGACCAAAGCTCAGCCAGTACAGCCACCTCTCCCAGGAGGCCTCCCCGCTAGCAGAGGCCTGGTGACGCACACAGTCAGACCCAGGGGGAGCTCAAACCTTGCGCTCCTGTCACATTTTGCGTCACTTTCAGAGCTGAATCCTCTCTGTTGCTGTTAGTCACTGTGCGCTTAGCCATGACTGCACTGGACTGGTTTTTGTTTCCTTCTACCAACGTGTGCCCGCCTCCTGCTTGCCTCCCTTGCCCCCAGTTCCTTGTGGGCAGAAACGCTGTGCCTTTCCTCAACCCAGCGGAGATGGAATTGTACCCTACGCATCCACAATGTCTGATGCTCCCAGAATGGTCATGCAGCTGCCCTGTGGTCGGCTCTGAACTTTGCCACTAGCCCAGATCTCCTTGGGTGGTTGGAGCCACCAAAGGGCCCCTGGGCCTCTGGCTTTGTGTCGTCTCTCCCTGTACGGGGGGTTGAAGACACCATCTGTGCGAGCACGGCTTCCTTGATGGGTTTTAGGAGGATGTCCTTATGGACTGTTCTACATGCATACTCACAGAGCCTCTCAAACCCAAGGCCCAAGTCTGAGTCTGGTGCTGGCTGGGCTCTGTAATTTCATCCCTGGTGGTCATGGAAGGAGTCAGAGGCCGCCAGTACGCTCAGCCTAGCCCTGCAGGCCCCACCTCCCTGCTAACCCGGGAGCCTGCAGCCTACCTGACGGGCGGGGAAGCCAGGTACGCAGGACAGTCTTTCGTGGGTACAGCTGCTCCGAGGCAGCAAGTGGGAGCCCAAGAGGGAAGAGGGCCTGGCCCTCTAGGAACTCCAGGAACTCCAGAGGGCCCCGAGCCCTTCATGACTCTTGAGGAAACAGGACTGACGGAAGCTCCCTGGAGGTCACTGCATGGGGACCACACCTGAGGCCCCACAGACATGAGAGAAGGTGCTACATGGCATCTCCCCTCTAGTGGCTCCTGTCTGGGCTTCCATGTGGAGAACCACAGAGAAAAGCTCTGGACACCCGCCTGCTGAACCTCAGCTTTTCTTTCTCATGTTCACCCTAATGTCATCCAGCTTGTCCCCAGCCTAGGGGTGTCTGCTTCAGGTGTGTGCGCACGTGCCTGCGTGTGTATGTGTGTGTATGTGCGTACGTGTGAGCAGCTTCCCTAACCACGTGCCCCATTGCCCCATTGGACAGATGGAAGTGCCCCCAGATGTCGACTTGAGTGCCCTGCTAGTCTGGCCATTTCTCTCCCATTTCTCACTTTCCCCTGGGAGGAGGTGCAGCCTGGGTGCTGTGTGGCTGTCCCTCCCCTCCCCCAGGGCCTCAGTGTCCAGCCAGACTTGAGTGCAACACTCGGGCCCAAGTCAGTCTCAACTGTCCATTCAGACACTGCACCTACCTACTGGTCACTCTCAAGAAGACCGCCAACCTCAAAGGAAGGCCTTGGTGGTTGGGGACTCAGCTCTTCCCTCCGTGGTAAGGTCTGTGACCTGAGGCCGACCTGGGAGCAGACGCAATAAGGAGGATTTTGAGAAGGAGGCTGGGCAGGAAAGTCCTCCCAGTAAGAGAATAGCAGTGACTCTCCAGAGGGAGGAGGATGGGAACTCTGGGAGGGGACACTAGAGGGAGCCCGTGTGTCAAGTGAGGTCCCTGAGCCCCACCATGATGGGTCTCAGCTCCAGAGCCCATGGCTGCAGGTTGGGCCATGTGGCTCCAGGGATTTTTTCTCTATGCTCAGCAGTGTCAGCTGCGAGGCGTGGGATATTTGAAACAGTGTGTAATTGCTGAAAAAATCATTTGGACTATTTTCTGTGCGTGTGTGTGTCTTGTTTTTGTTTTGTTTTTGAGGCCTGGTCTCACTATGTAGTAGACCAGCTTTGAACTTGCTTATATAGCCCAGGATGGTTTTGAATTCATGGTAATCCTCCTGCCTCAACCTCCCGACTGCTGAGATTATAGATTTACACCACCGCACCCGGCCATTTGGATTATATTTAAAACAAGAGGATGTGAGAATTAGCCTGGGGGTTCAGGGGCTTTGGGCTGATGCTCCTACCTGCTGTGAAGGGGACCGCAGGAGTCATTTCAGGATAATAGAGGGGCCTTCTCAGGCCCATTTGCGTAGCATCGCCTGTGTCTCTCCCTGTTATTTTTCCTTCAGTTTTGTGAGCTGCTGTGCTGAGAGTTCTGGTAAATACGCCTTTCCCAATCTTGTTAAAAGTCCATTCGTGCTTCAGTGCCCGCTGATGTTTGCAGACCATGTGTAGCTGAGCCCTGGGTGGGGGATGCCTACCTGGCCACCCCGTCACGCCTACCGCTTAGCGGTGCCCTGTCCAAGGTACCATGAGTCCTTGCTCGATGCCACCCTCAGGCTTTCTTGTGGTAAGGAGGGTAGAATCCAGGGAGTGGTGAGCTGCCTCCCCAGCCCTTTTTTATTTTGAGATTGTGTCTTGCTGATTGCCCCGGCAGACACTGAACTTGTGTTCTTCCCGTCTTAGCTTCCGGAGCAGCCAAAAGTACAGCCAGGTTGCACCACTCCTGGCTCGGAGTGGTGTCTGTAAACTGCTGTGCCAGTCCTGCCCCTCCCCATGTCAGAAGCTTCACTCAGCCCCCGTGAACCTCTGAAAGTCACCAAAAGATATTTACAGCACAGGCTGAGCCACCAGGGCCTGGGTGGCCGGGGGTGATTTCGTGTCTTGGTGACTGGGAGTGTCTCCTTGGGGCCCCAAAGTGTGCATGTTTGTCTTTGTAATTTGATTGGCTTAGGTACAAATCAGCACCAGATACATTGTCTGTCATCATCTCTGTCCTCCGGGAAGCTGCCTGGAGTACCACTCTGCTTGTCTTGCTTCTCCCTTCTGCCTCCAAGGCCTAGCTGGTGCCCGACACCAGTGGGAGAGGTGCCGGGAAATGGGCATTGTTGGATGGAACAGAAAACAAACTTGAGGTCACTGTCTTTTTCCCCAACAGAGATGCCGCCCTTATCTGGCAACATGAGCAGAACCAATTGCTCCACAACGACGGCCTCAGCGCACTGACTGGCTTCTTGCACCTGTTTCCCATTACTCTGGGCCTCGGCCTTCTTTCCTAGGCCTGGCCGTGGTCACCCTTCCCGCAGGGCCTGCCTGTAAAGTGCAGGGAGACAGGCTGAGACTTGTTAGGACTGCAAGTCACAGGAAGGCATGGTGCCCTTCCACCCACTTCGCAGCCGGTCCAGTGTCCTTCCCTCCCCGATGGCTGTGGATGGAGAGTTTACACCCAGCTTTCGGTCCTTCCCACAGCTCTCCAAGACTGCTTAGCAAACACAGAAATGGAGGCCTCAGAGGCAGAGAATCTGCCCAAGGTCATGCTGTCCTGTCCGCACAGGACAGGGGCTGCCCAGAATCCCAGCCCGAGGTCTAGAGTGGGATTCTCTTCTGTGCTGTCCCAGCCACCGTCCCTGTAGAAAATGACTGTCCTGTCTTCTGTCTCCCTCAGGGGGCCTTGGCGAATTCTGTCATGGTAATTTAAGGAACCTCGCTTACAAGTCCCCACTCACCGTTCCCCACTGACGGGAAGGCTTGGACTCCAAGATGATTATAAAGGAGTACCGGATCCCTCTGCCGATGACCGTGGAGGAGTACCGCATCGCCCAGCTGTACATGATTCAGGTTGGTGGAGGGCAGGGTGGCCAGGGGACTTCTCCCAGCTGCCCAAGTCATGCTGCATTTCCCGCTTCCCAGCACGGTCGGGCCACACCGTGCATGCCGTGGCATGGGGTCGTTCCTGCCTCCGCATGCCCAGCCCCTGCTGTGTGGACCTCTTCATCTCTTCAGAAACAGTGTCTCATCCCCAGAGCTAACTCAGGCTGCCTTCACAAAGCTACAGCCTGGGGGCTTAAACACCAGAGACTCACTTTCCGTGAGTCACACTCCCAGACCGAGGTTTGGTGGCTTTCATTCCTGGGGAGGACTTTTCCTCTAACTTCATCTTAACCTGGTTATTCCCCAGAAGTCCCACCTTCGAATACCATCACATCAGGGGGCAGAACTTCAACACACACAACATGCAGTCTGTAGCACCCCACCCAACAGGCAGGCAGGCATGAGGCAAGAGGGGTCAGACAGGCTACAGCCTGCCCCGTGGGCTCACACATTGCCCAGCCTAGGGTGGCCAGCGTGCAGTCTCATGAGTGTGAAGACGTTTCTGTAAGGAACCAGACTGTCTCCTACTCCCAGGAGACATCGTGAATCTTCCCCCTCAGGGACTTACCAGCCTAGACACGGGTCCAGAGCCCCAGGATCCAGGGTGCTCCAGACCTGATCAATGCTCCTACCTGCTAGGGACCTGGCTTGCTCTGCAGCCAGCCTCCTCCTGCTCGGTCCAGTCCCAGTCCCAGTCCCATGCCAGGCCTGGCAGCTGCCTCCAATCCACAGGCCTCAGTGCCTCCTACACTGATCCTGAACAGCTGTCGGCCAGGCTGTGGCTCCTCTGAGCACACTGGGGCCTCTGGTTCCTGTTACCAAATGGGGCCTGCCTCGGGCCAGCATCTTAACTGCACAGCCCTCATGCCAGAGCAGCACACTGAGCTGCTGCCTCCCCTTCCCAGCTGTGCCTGCTGGGTTTGCACCTCCCACCCAGTTGGACAAGGGTTACAAGCCCCCAGCAGAGCCTGCAGCCCTGGCTCCTGTGCAGGAGGAGCCAAATGACACTACGAGGCTTCAACCAGGCTCCCTACATGGGCGGCCTGGCTGAGCAGAGAGGGGGAGGTGCCCCCAGCCTCTCTGGGGGCTTGTTTGCTCTGAGCTCCTTCAGAAGCGCCACTCAATTCCCTCTTAAGCCACTTACCCCTTAATTATTTCTAGAGAGCTGGAAGAGGAAGAGGCTTAAATCAGGCCATGAGCTCTGAGCACCCTAGAAATAGTTCAGCCCATTCAAGGACTGCCTCCTGCTACCTCACTGTTTGTTCTCCATTCCTGCCTCAGGGCTGAGCACCTCCCCCCTGCCCCGCACTGTGGGCAGCTCCCCAACTGCACCTGGCCCCCTGGGCTGGGTGGTCAGTGTCGGAGCAGAGTTCCTCCTGCCTCTGGGACGCCCAAAGTGCTTCTTGAGCACAGAGCACCTATGCCTCCCACAAGTGTAACTGATAGTGACTACCCCACCATGCAGAGCCAGCCCTCCCACTGCTCCGCCCAGCCGCAGCCTTGTCCTTAGGGCCAGCCCTTGTGGCAGCTGAGGACTAGAGCCGTCCCCACCCGGAAGATCCTGCACGTCAGCACAGTGCCTCCCAACTGAGCAGAGCCAGCCCAGACTCATCTGTGCAGCCCTGAGCCTCCAAGGTCTTTGCCTGCACTCCTTCTGGTGAGCGAGCACACATGCCAGTCTGCTTTCCTCCTGAACTAGAAGGGTGCTGATGTGCCCAGTATAGCACGTCTGGGGGCTGTGGCTACAGTACACACCTGCACGTGCATGCACAGGTGCACAAGAATGTCCTCCACGGACACACAAGCTCACGTGCAGCTGTACTCCAGTTCCCACCAGCTTTTTGTTTTGTTTTTGAGACAGGGTCTCGATATGTAGTTCAGCTCGGTCCTTGAACTCAATATGTGACTCAGGCTGGCCTGGAACTCACAGTGATCCTCCTGCTTCAGCCTCCTGAGTGCTGGATTACAGGCATGCATTACACTCCCATCAGCCTTTGATGAGCCCATATCCCTGAGACTTGCAAGGACATGACACATGTCATAGCCCATGCAACCACTTCCTCTGTGACCAGGTCCTCTGGGGTTCTGGGCTCTACTCACAGATGACTAAAGGTAACCTCCGACCTCTCCTTCCAACCCACCTTGGAGAGAGATAGGGAGTGTCGGATCTCCACCTGGGGCAGGCAGCACAGTGAGGTGTAAGTGGAGGAGTCCTGAGTAGGTGTGTGTAGGCCCAGCTGGGGTTGCAATGTGGTCTGTTTCCAGGCAACAAGCACTTAAGAATCATAGTCTGTGGAGAAAGTGAGGTTTTCAGGCCTCGGCTTGAGTTCCAGCTGTAGTGAACCAGCAGGCAAACCTCTCAAGCCTCAGTTTCTTTATCTGGAACGTAAGCTCACCTCTCAGAGGATCAGCCAGAAAGACACTAAAAAGTCAATTTCCTGTCTTCCATATGGGGAGACAGTAGCCCCTGAGCCAGGCCTGGAACTCAGCCCCTCTGGCCCTGGAGAGCTCTGAGACTCCTGCTGGGGCTAGGGGGAGCTGCTGCCACCCTCGGAGGTGAGGGGGTAATGTGGGGTACAGGGTTCAGGGGATAGTGGTAGTGGACAGGAGGCCTCCTCCCAGAACGGGGAGGCAGCGGCATTCTGAGGAGTCAGTGACCTCAGCACTGCCCAAGGCCCTGTGAGAGGGTCCTGGCAAGGAGCAGGGTGGGCTGGAGCTGCCCGCTGAGGGCAGGGCAGGGAGGGCACCGTGTCCCTAGGACCCCCTCGCACTGGACTCCTTTCTGTAGACTGAGATTGGGCCTTTGACGGCTCCTCCAGCCAGCAGTGTCTGCGGCCCAGGGCTGTGGCGCTCACTCTTTCTGGCCCTACCCCCTCGGTCTGTGGCCCAGCCCAGCTGCCTCTGCTCCTGTCCTCGCCTTTGTCTCCCTGCCACTGCACCCAGCGTTTCTAGGTGCAGTGTCACCATGGGTGCTGGGCTCCAGACATGCAGGACCACATGTGGATAGCTCAGCCTGTGGCCCTTGTCCCTTAGCAATGCTGTTACAGCAGCGAGTTGGATTCACTGGTATTCCCACCCTGTCTGAGGGCGAATAAAATGTGTCCAGCATGTCCAGGGAGACAGTACAGATGTGACGGAGTGCCACTCAGGAACAGGGCTGGTCAGGAGCAGGTCTGCACGTGGGCTCTGGGCAGATGCTCAGGAGTGCAGTCGTTTCGTTCCAGGCCTTATGAGCAGCTGTGTTTTCATGGAAAGCAGCAAGGAGGCTCAGTTTATTTCTCACTGCGCTGCCCACAGCTGGAAAGAGGCCGCCCTGGAGGTTGTGAACACAGGTGCAGCCAGTACCATGCCCAAGCTGCACTGGGTGCACCCGTGTTAGGTTTGAAAAGAAACAGCTGACCAGTCTGGCAGGCCTCCACCAACCGGGGGCTGCCAGGACCCTGGACAGCTCTGCAGGCCATGCTTACAGGGGTTTTGGCCTGCCTATCTCTTTCTCCTCTCTTGGCCAGCCCCAGGGAATCCTGCTGGTCTCTGCTGACCCAGGTCTCAGAGGAAGCCTCCACAGTGCTGTTTGCGGGACCTGTTGGCAGGGACGAGGGTGGCTTCCTGCGTGGGCAGAGAGCAGAGTGATTGGAGAAGAGTCTGTGCCCACGGGGCATGACTGAGCTGCACCTGTGAGGGGGCAAGTCGCCCCCTCCATCACTGTGGCCAGTGGGGACCCAGGGCCAGCCTGAGGAGGGCTGCCCAAAGCTCTGAGTGACAGTGGGGACAAGAACCGACTGGTTTGTTCCACCGCTCTTGCCTAGCACCCAGAGTGCCACCTGAGGATGTGCCCTCGAAGGGCAGTGCTCTGTCAGTACCCGCTGTGGCACTCCGTCCATCCCTATGAGTGACCATGGCCATCCATCATCACCACCCTGTGATGACAGCAGTCCAGGTCCCCTGAGCCTGAGCACACCACCTGCTTGGATCCTTGTGACCACCTGAAGATCACAGAGGAAGTGGCATCTCTCCCCTTACAGATAAGACATGAAGTCACAAAGAGATATCCAGGAGCTCATCCATGGATGCATACCTAGCCCCGGAGCCAGGCTGTCTGCCGCTTTCACTCGGAGCACTTTGAGGTCTCCTAGCCACCCCAGCTCTCACCTCAAGTCAGCTGTGCGGGCTTAGAGCAGAGCTGCCCTCCGCCTCTGTCCCTCACACAACCCCCTAACCCCCAGGACCCCAGGCCTGGGTGGCGTGTCATTTGGAAGAGTCGCCAGTTGCTGGGGAGAGGCCTGGAGACTGGAAGGCTCATGTGGGAGGGGGTGGCGAGAACTCTCTGAGGGGCAGGGGGGACCGGCAGGTGGTGTCCCATTTGGCCATATCGGGGCTTGCCCAGCTGCCTGACAAGGGCACCCCTTTCATGTCTTCCTGCAACCTCAGACCGTGACTTTGTTGGGAACTAGGGTCTTTGCATGTGTGATTAGTTACGGATATTAAGATGAGATCATCCTGGTTCAGCATGGGTCCCAAATTGCACAGCTGCCGTCCCTGTAAGAGGGTAGGCCAGAGGGACAGAGGAGGCAGAGGTCAAGAGGCACAGCTCAATCCAAGGACGCTAAGGAAGGCTGTTCCCTAGAGCCCTCTGAGGGAGCGCTGAGGTGGGGGAGCTGGATTTTCCCAGAAGGACCTGGGACGGTCCCCCAGTTACCTGAGACCTGGGGTGAAAGACACCCTTGCCCCGGCTTCTTCTCCAGGTCTCCATGTGCTTTTGCGTCCCACCTTGACCTTCAGAGACTCGTGCAGGGCCCCCAGCCCCTGCATATTTCCCCACAGAGCTTCCTGGCACCCCAAGAGTATTCACTCCTTGGTGTCAGCACAGAAGTGTGACCTATGGGGCCTGAAAACCCAAAGTTTATTCCAGTAACTTAAGAGGTGAAGGCCCATGTGTCACAGGCAGCACTCCCTCCACAGGCTCTTGG